AGTTCTTGAGAATGTTGATTACCTCTTGATTATTTTGCACAATAGTTGTTAGCGTCCTTTCGAAGCTGTGTATGATTTAAAAAAATTTTTTTGTTAGTGAAACATCGAATTCCTAAAAAGTACTTTAAAGCACATAAATTAGTTATCTAGACAATTGAATCAATTAGCCAATCAGATGAATGTCGGCCTATGACATCTTCACTAGATTATTATACTAGAAAAAAAATATTAATACTTTTCAATAAAATATCAATGTATATCATTGCGTGTATATCAATACTCTTCAATAAGCATTAATATTTTTCAGTATATATTGATACTTTTCAATATATATTAATATATTTTAATGCCCAACAATGTATATTAATAAGCTTCAATGCTCACCAATGTGTATCAATATAGTAATATCTATAAAAAATATCTTGCTTCCAATGCTAAAAATTCTAGCGGTAACTATCTAATTTTTTTTTACCTAAAGAAAAAAAAATACCAATAAAATATACTAGATCCATACTTTAAAAGATCTAGATAATAGTAATAAACTTGGAGATACTCTAGCTAATTATTATCCTCTTAGCTAAACAGAACTTGAAAAGCAACTTTCTTGTACAAAAAAAGATCATGAAGTTGCTATATATTGGGGAAATCAGTTTGCAGATAATTATGATGTCTTAGATAGAGAAAAAATATATATACAGGATTCTCTAAATCAATCAAAAAAGAAAATAAGCATATACAGGATGATCTTAATAAATCCAAAAAAGAAAATAAGCACATACAGGATGATCTTGATAAATCCAAAAAAGATAATAAGAAGCTCTCTGATCATGTTCACTAGCTTGAAGAAGAAACAATGTAGTTACAATCAGAAATAGATAACTTCAAGCTTGGGGATGAAATAAGATATTTACATTTAGAGATAAATGACCTTAAGCTTCAGATCACTCACAAAGATATTTCTTTTGCAGATACCAAAAGCAAATTTTCTATAAAATCAGAGGAGATGCAAATCCTCCAATTCAAGATGGAGGAAGAGATACAGGCTCTCCAATTAAGAGTAAAAGAATTGGAGCAAGATCTTTTTTTAGCACAGAATGAGTTATTAGAAATGGAATCTCTTAAGCATGAATTCGAACAAGAAAAGATATTACTATCTGCTGAAAACACTACCCTAAATTATAAAAAAATGAAGTTAGAAGAAACTCTATCTAAAGAAAGAAATAAATTAATGCGGATAAAGGATAATTTAACTTTAGCACAAAAGGTATTATTAGAGAAAGATTCTCTTCTTCAAGAAGCTAATGCTTATTTAGCAGAGCAGATTTTAAAAGTATCTGATGAGTCAAAGTATAATGAAGTGATTGGAGGTATTAGCAGACTAGAGAAAGGTAATGGCATCACTAATCCTGAAACAACCTCACTATCACTCAATTCCTTCTTTTAGCAGAATGTGATCTTTATCATAATAATGATATTACTAATCATATACAGTACTTTCTATAGCACATATCCTCTTATATATATTCTTTTATTTTACTCCTCAATAAAAAAAAAATATTCTGAATTATAAAATATCCTTAGATAGAAATCAGAGTTATGGATTCCCAATCCGCTATACAAAAGAACCAAAAAAAAGAACTACCACCTATAAAACTCTATCTTATAAATATGAATAAGGCCACAAAGCACGAATCATTTTGAAATGTTAGACATCTAGCAATGATATGGCTTTTTAGTATAAAGTCAGCAGAAGAAGTAGTACAAGTAAAACCAATTTACTAGCAAACATTGTTCTTGGAAATAAATGTGAACATATATATAAAAGACAAAGGGGAGAATCCAGATATATTAGATGTAATAATTTGATAGTTTGTGAATACTATCCGGATAAACCTAAATGGGTATTTGTTAGATATATATAGAGATGGGCACCATGCGCATGAATGCATACATGCATGCACCATGCATGTGCATGGTTTAATGGTCTATATATCAAAATGTCTATAGAAAAAAAAGAAGAAAATCCATTTACGCAAATAACAAAGCGTGATCCATAATTAAGAAGGGCACCATGCGCATGGTTTGATATAATTTATATATCAAAATGTCCATATAAAAAAAAAAAAACTTTATTTGCGCAAGTAATATCAACGTAATTAAAGATAGGCACAATGTGCATGTTTTGGTAACTTATATATCAAAATGCCCATATAAAAAAAAACTTTATTTATGCAAGTAATAAAGCGTGATCTGTAATTAAAAATGAGCACCATGCATATAGTTATCTATATATATCGAATACCCATATTTATGCAAGTAATACATTTCTTAAAAAAAATTTATTTGCAATCCCTAAAAAAAAACTTATTTAAGCAAATAATATAATCCTTAAAATAAAGCGTGAA